TAAAAAAGAGAGGAAAAGAAAATTAACCTTAACAATTCAAATAATTCATTATATACGAGATTTTTTGGAGAAAGGCATTATGAAGTTTGATCTAATAACAGAGCGACCAATTCAGAAGAAATGTTTATGGTCACAATAAAAAGCGCCACATTTTACACTTCCACTGTTCAGTTCAACATAAATAATGGATTCACGTGCCAATTCACAAAGATATTCAGAATTTCGTGCCCCATTATTTGTTTTGGTAATTAAGTAGAAACATTAAAGTTATTATATTTATATCACTATATAGCTACCTTATCTTACGCATCGCAAATTTGACTAAAAGACTTAATTTTCAGTGAAAAAAGACTGTTTTAGATATGCTTTTTTAAACTCAGCAACGAAGTCCTGAGGAAAAAGAAAAAAATTATAAATTTCTCACACAGATCAAAAACAGAGCTACTCAAAACTAACCTTTTCTCTCATACTCAAAAAAGTTTTTTGCATTGAACTGCTACAAATAACGTGTAATGAGGAATACTGCAAGAAGAGAGCTGTCTGTAATGGAGGAAATGGAAGCGAGATAGATCTTTGTTAAACGTTTGCTAAAAATCTCCATACTTTGAGTTACTGCTGTATTTACGCTATTCAGTGTATCCTAAATGTTTAATAAATAATACTCTGTAAATATACTTCTCACCATGATTTTCTGCTGTTCTTCCCTTCTTCTGCATAGGTATATGTGATTATATTTTAAACCAGCTGAAAGTGCTGATACAGGAGTATTTAGAAAAAGGAACGACTTTCATCTTTGGAAAATTTAGATTATATTCCAAAGCATAGGTTTCTAGCAAAACACAGACTGTTATAATATAATGTATTATTATTTTGCAGTTTGATAAAAAATTTTAAGGAATTAATGCTAAAAGTTTACCTAAAACAGAACAGTTTTTTGTTTTTATTTCTCTTCTTAGTCGAGATTAGACAAAAAGTGTTAAGGGGACTGAAAATAGTAAGTAAAAAAAGTAATTAAAAAAACTAGAAAACAAAAATTTTCTTGAATTGGGATTAAGAACATCTTTCTCAAATGCTTAAAAACATACATGTTACTTTACTTCAGGAAACAGCTCTCGATTATGCTGAGGAGAATTTTCATCAGGATGTCGTCAGATTTCTCAGTAGTCAATTTTAAGACATACCGTATTTTCTTGGCAACTTTTTGTCGTCTTTTCTTCTAGAACAATATATTTTTCCTAGACAGTTATTTAAACAAATTCAATGTAGCAAGTTTTTTGGGAAATTGATTTAGCTTTCTGGTATTTGGTAAAGATTTGCTTTGAAGCAGTAACTTTTAAAGTGAGCACTATTACACTATTTAAAAACTATTTTTTAGAGTTTACTGGAATTACCCCACTTTTGACTAATTAAACTTTGCGGTAGCTTTTTCGGTGAAGTATTTTCTGGAATATTTGATAGAACAGTTTTGCAGTTTCTGAATGAAACATTCTTGCTGTCATCTGCAGCTTCTTCTTAATTCAGCATGTCGACCTATACCATTCAAGTCGATTACGTTTCTGCGAGAGATTGGTAAAGGTGGCTGAAGTGTAGTTTACAAAAGTAAACTTTTTGAGGAAACTGTTACTACAAAAAAAAGTTGAAAAATGGCAAATGGTGCAAACATCTTCCTTCATTTAAATCATCCAAATTCAATTTAACTTTTGTAAGTGTCACGTATTTGCGATCCTGTATTAATAAAACTGCATTCAGCATTTTTTACAAAACCAGTTCAGTGCAATGAGATATTCTACAAAAAGAATACTGTTTCTAAAATAGTGGATTTTTTTTTTGTAATCAGAAACAAATTTGCATAGAAGTTTGTAATGAGATGCTCAGTTTTTTTTTTTGATTATGGAATATTGTGGTGGAGGCTCTTTAGATGCACAGATACATAATAGTAAATCCAAGATTACCAAAAAGCAGACTTTTAAGTGGTTAGCACAAGCTGCTAACAGAATCAGATATTTACACTCCGAGGAAGTCATACATTGAGATCTGAAACGTAGCAGTTGGGCTTGGTTGTTGAACTTGTCTATTAAAGACGAGTTACTTCACTGATATTTATTGTTTTAGTGTTCTTTTGAATGAGAAAAATATGGTAAAAATCTGCGATTTTGGCGTATCTCGGATTTGGGACTCTTTAGACAACGGTTCAATGTCGCTTTGTGGCATAACTCGCTATATGGCTCCAGAAATGATTAACAATAAGAATTTTTCAAATAAGGTGGGTTTTCTTCACAAATCTCTAGCACTGATATATAGTCAGCATTGTCTTGAGACTGTGATGTGTGCTTTTTAAATGCAGTTTTTTTATAGAAAACTCTAATGTTGCGTTGAACTGATTTTCTAGATTGATATATAAAGTTTTGGCGTCGTAATTTGGGAACTTTTAACTAAAAAGAAGCCTTATGAAGACATTGCCGAGCGCAACGTTTTTTGTTGAGTTTCATCAGGATTATTTTTTAGCACATCCAACTTTTGCTGTTAAACACAGAAAGGGTCAAAGGTTTTTATCGTAAACCTGTCAATAAATATTGCAGCGGATTGCGTCTCCCTCTACCCTACAAAGGAGAATCAAGATGTCACGCACCGCGCAACATTGGCAGCACCGCGCTCAGCCTCACGAGAAAAGTGGTCTTCGTTTGTGAAGAATTCAAAGTTCTCTGTGAACAGACACAAAATTAGCTGTAATTCGTCAATTTCAGTCTTCACATCATTTCTTCTTCAAGCTCTCTGATGAATGAAAAACCCTTGCAGTCTAACTCACACGTCCTTGTAAAGCTGCGAATCTGCTGAAGCAAAACTTCTACGATCTTTAAGGAAAGTCACTTAGAGCTCTCCAAATTCTTACTTTTCCTTACTGCATGGGGCGGTCTTCTGGATAAGCACTGATGAAGCAATCCAGCAAAAGTACTTCAAGCTTAGCAATCAGTCTCTCAAAAACAGCTTGACTGTAAGCATTTAAGATCTCTTTTCTTGCGTGTCAAAGCTTCCATTAGGATCCAAGCTTTAGACGGAAGAATGATGAAACTACAACAAAACTTTTGA